GGCGACCTATGCTGACCCTAGCATCAGACCATCTGACCATAGTCATCGCGATTGATAAACCTGCCGACTTTGCTTCCGTGGATCACCGGACTTATGTCAACTTTTCCAAAGCTGACTGGAAAGGCTTCACGGATGTTACTGAGGGCGCCTTCACTGCACTACCCATACCAACCGACGTTCATGTAGGCTTCATCCCAGCAGGATGTATTAAGGATCCACGTCCGAACTTTCCTGCCGAAGCGGCTGTTCTAGCTGATGAGCGCGACAAACTTCGTCAGTCCGTTCCCTGAAATCCCCGTATTAGGGATCTCAATTCGAAGATTCGGCAACTTGTGAACGTACATAAGCGGAAGAAATGGGAAGAGCATTTGAAGACCTGCAACTTCGCCTCTGGTGTGAGCAAGCTTTGGTCAACCGTGAGGTCGTTGTCCAACCCGACGAAGTGTGACGACAGAGTCGAGATATACTTTGGTGACCACGCTTCGTCGGACCCGGAGAGATGCGCGAGCTATTTTAGCCGGCAGTTCATTCTGCAACCTCCTGTAAAGCCAAACGTCGAGTGACCAGAAGGCTGCACAAAATGCCAAAACCCAGTGCGCCTCTTGTTTTCACCAGCGGTGAGGTTATGGTAGCCATCGGGAAGGCGAAAGCCTCCAAAGCTATTGGACCCGACGGAATATGCATGTTGATGCTGAAAAATTTGGGTCCTGCGTGTTAGGATAAATCAATAAATAAACAAACAAACAAACAAAAGAGAGTATTATCGCCCGATAACTCTCCTTTCCCCGGTAGCGAAGACACTCGAGGCCCTGCTGCTCCCGTACTTTACGAACCACCAGACCCCAGCGCTCAGCAACAGCACTTAACGCCATAAACACTCAGATAACTCTTGGCCTAAACCGAAACCGCCCCTGTGAGGGAACTATTCTAGTAGCGTTGGACCTGTCCAAGGCGTTCGACACTGTCAGTCATTCAACGCTACTAGAAGATATAGAGGCCTCCTCACTCCCACAGGGACTCAAACGGTGGTCGGCGAATTACTTGAGTGGTCGACACTCGTCAGTAATTTTCAGAGACAAAACTAGCAAGCCACGTAAAATTAAACAGGAGGTACCACAGGGTGGTGTCCTGTCCCCGCTACTGTTTAATGATTACATCTCAAAGCTTCCCCAGGGTGTTAATATAGTCTCTTAAACTATGCAGCGCCCGTATGGTCGCCGGGAACTAGCAGGACGCAGTGGATGAAGCTACAGACCTGCCAAAACAGGGTTACGAACAGCGACAAGATGCCTCCTGATGTCGCCCCAACACCACCTACATGACGAGGCCCAGATGCTCCCAGTAAAGGAGCATAACATAATGCTCTGCAAGCAGTTCCTTGCTGGGAGCCACAGACGTGGCCATCCCAGCGGACAGCTGCTCGCGGAAGAGCCCTCGCCACGGCACGTCAGGAGGCATCTTTACGAACTGACGGACGAAGTCCAGAGATTTATCAAACAACCTCTGGACCCGTCAACCTACCGACAGGCTCTGAACGGCATTCACAGGAAATCAGTCTCAAGTTATGTAGACTGCCGCCCTGTGAATGCCGTTCTAGGCACACAACCACCGGACGTGGACGGGACAGAACTTTGTCTGCCTTGGGAGACCCGCACTACAATAAATATACATACTATTATATAGCCTAGAAGGAAAAATGTAACAGGTTAACGTATTTTAAGCATTAAATTTAACTTTACTTTTATTGTATATTGCAATACATAATTAAAATGTATATACGTGAATGTATATAGGTCAAATGACTGTAATAAATAAATAAATAAAATAAATAAAATAGCCCAACTTCGCTGTGGCTATTGCAGCAGGCTCAACTCTTACTTGAGTAGAATCAACGAGGATGTGCCCAACCAATGCCCGGCATGTGGAGAGTCGCCACATGACTCCCGGCACCTCTTCACATGCCCTGAGAACCCCTCTGAGCTAACGCCCCTGTCCCTATGGACAGCCCCTGTGGAAGTCGCACACTTCCTGGGCCTCCCCCTAGCTGAAATTGACGACAACGTTGATGGAGGAACCGCCCCGAACGGGGCTTAGTAGCCAATACAACAACAACAACAACAACAACAACAACAGGTTTGTTCGTCGAAGATCCAGCAAGAATTATCCAACACTCAAAATATCAGAGAGTAAGAAAAAATTCTCTCAAATTCTCTCTCATGTTGAGAAACTTGCAAATTTCTGCACGAACGCAAATTTGCAGGAATTTGCAAGTTTCGCTGCCAGCTGGCGTCCACGGTTGCATTTCAAACATAACAATTTTTTATAGAATTTTTAAAATTCTTTCGGATGGCCAAAAACAGGATATACATGTATATTTCTTGTTGTTCTGACTTTCTTTAACATACATTTAAATTTCTTCTTCGTACTAGCTGTCGGGTTTCTTAAATCGACTCTGGTTGCAATTGCATTCCGATTGTGAATACCATTTTTTTCAGCCGAATTAAGTTCAAATCATTGGAATTAACTAAATTAATTATATCAACAATTATTTACTTCCTTTTTTCATAAAAAAATCGCTCGTGTTTATAAATTTTTAAATTTAACGAACTAATTTATTCAAATTATTGTAGACAAAAATGCAACCATGCGCCACAACCACATGTTTTTCGTGTTTGCAAAATTTTTTCCAGCAAGAATTTGCAACTTCTCTCCAAGAGAACTGTCACTTTGCTCTCACAATTTTTGAGTGTTGGATAATTTTTTGGTCTGCACGAACGCGATTTGGGCAAAAATCGTGATAATTCGTACAAATTCGTACAAATTTTTTGCTCGACGAACAAACCTAACAACAACAACAACAACAACAACAACAACAACGCGGAGACATCAAGGATCGAAGTTTAATTGGGAAAATTTTAGTAGACGGACGGCAAATTCTAGAAAAAGGGGGGATGAGGGGGGTAGAATAGGACCCCCTAATTTCAAAACTACCCCCCTTTTTTCTAGCAACCCTATAGTTCTTATATAATTTATTGTTAAAGTTTTCATATAAACGATGAATAAGATAGCAAAATAACATACAACTTAGTGGTACCAGACTGGAATTTTGAATAATAAAAGCGGATTTTTAATACGGAATTTTTACTTAGTAGAATTATTATTTCTGTGTTGCCGAAGAAGGGGGGGCTGAACACATTTTGCAGAGAACACCTTTCTGCGTAGGCGGCCTTCGGCCGCACTTAGGGATTATAACCCTCAGGCAGTAGAATTCTCCTTTCTGTTTTGCGAAGAAAAGGAGCTGAACACCTTTCTGCGTAGGCGGCCTTCGGCCGCACTTAGGGATTATAACCCTCAGGCAGTAGAATTCTCCTTTCTGTTTTGCGAAGAAAAGGAGCTGAACACCTTTTGCAGAGAACACCTTTCTGCGTAGGCGGCCTTCGGCCGCACTTAGGGATTATAACCCTCAGGCAATAGAATTCTCCTTTCTGTTTTGCGAAGAAAAGGAGCTGAACATTTTCTTTTGTATTGATTTCCCCTGTATTCCTTTTTAATCATTGCCTTCTTTGTATGTATTGTTTTGTACAATATGGCAACACATGTTATGTGTCAGTTTGCAACCATGTGTTATTTGAGGTGTTCACAGTTCGTTCCAAATAGTGTCTCAAAATGTAGACGTCTACATTTTAAGACGTTTTCTAACCGTAAAATCTGTGGTGTTGTTGTTTCCCATACAAAATTGGAAAACGACGCCGTCTACATTTTGCCACACTCAAAGGTATGTTTTTTACGCGTCTACATTTTGCAACCTCGCAGCAGGGTTGCTTTATGGCAATACTAATCACATTTTTTTTATTTATTGGGCACGTTTTCTGTATTTGCATATAATTTGAGCGCAATTTCTGATGAAAAGAAACAAATCAAGGAAAAGAAATAACAAATATTAGGAATTGGTAATTAAGTTAAATAATTACAATTTTTCAGAAACAAAATCGAAAGGCGACATAAAAAATGCACTCAAAGAAGAAATGTCTGGCAACACCAGCAAAGTTTTGAGACGATTTCGCGACGACTGCTAGAAAGGGGTGCTCACAGTTTGACGCTAAAGATGTCTCAAAATGTAGACGTCTACATTTTCAGACACAATTTGGAACGAACTGTGAACACCCCAATAGTAATTTACAAGTCGATAAAAGTTGAATTAAAGTTATTTATATACAAGATAAAATAAAAGAAAAGTGTGTAAAGTATTAAATACAGTGTTATGTGCATTTATATATATAAAAGTATGCACAAATGCTTTTTTGTTAAGGAAACCAAGTGGAACGACTTAAGAAATTTTAACAACAAATAACTTATAAACAATGATATTATTTATATTTTTTAGTTATACATGTTTTAGAGGATACCTCCCTTAACATCCTGACCAAGTTTCATTTGTTAATTCCACCTGGTTTTCTTAAAACACAAGGTGCGGCTGACTACTAAAGCCCACCCGTTTAATTACCACCGTTAAATCAACCACCAGAACCATGGCGGTCCTTGCTTTACGGCGATAAACAGTATAAAGACAATTCTTGATAAATGCCTACAAATACAATTGTAAGACATCTAACGGATCATTATTGCCACAACTTTTTCACGGAAATAACTCTTTCTTTAGGTTATTTAAGATGGCAATGGAGAATATGCCTTCTGCCGATCACAAAAAAAAACGTGAACGTGAAATGTTTGTGAAAACGTTGGACCAAATGTTTAAATAAAAAAATAATTTTGGGCAGAACGAGGTACGCCGGGTGTTCTAGTTACCCAATAACCACAGTCTCTAACGTTAGTGAAAAAGCTTGATTTTACATTAGAGTTCTCAAGTATTTCTCTGTTAAAAAGTATAAGAGAATTCGGTTTGAGAAGGATTAGGAAAATATTAGAAACGCGATGTTACGTTAAATGGTAGAATTATAAACTTAAATGCATCAAGCGGTTAAGTCACAATCTGGGCTTACCTTAGATTCCTCGAAGTCGTTAATTAGGTTTTGTGATTCTTCACCCTGATCATTATTGCGCAAGAAATCCATAGCCTCGAAATAATACAGAGAGGGCGTTGCATTTGGAGTTATGCGTTTTAATTCTCGTCGATAGTTTGATCGAAGGCTATTAATCTTTTT